CCTTATGAAACAGCACAGGTAATGTGGGGTATAAGGGCTCTTCTGCTGTTACTATTCATATGGCCACTGCAGCACCAAGGGGGTTTTCAGGACTCGCAAGTCTTGAGTGGTCTGGTCACTCATCTTGGATTAGAGATGTGCTCCTCCTCTTCTCTGAAGCACAACAGATGTCAATAAACACTGATACAGCGTTGCTGGAAAATGAAGCAATAACTGGGTTTGAAGTACCAGGCTAGCACCCAGCTCTGCCACAAGAAATTGCTCAGGCCATAAGTCACAAATGGATCTGAAAGAGCTCTGTTGGCCCTACATTTTTACCTCACCAAATAGTTGACAGTGCAGTGGGATGGCTACAATGCTGTTTTACATGTTGTGAGCTGGATGATACTGAGGTGCTTTAAACCTCACTGCTGTGAGAAACTGGCTGCTTTGTACTGACTGCTGACCTCCACTGAACATGCTTTCCAGCACATAGTGTTTAATACTGCATGCACTAATCCAGGCCTAATGTGGAAGAGGAGATTCTGTTAAATGAATTTCATAATGTGTGATGCACTAGCAGCAGGAAAGGGCATTTTGTGGGATTAGATACAACCACTTAACCTGGTGGTGGCCTGTAGTTCCTGTTCATGTTCAGTGTGTGGAGCAGTCAGCAGGAGCACACTGGGGAGCCTGGTTGTGCCCCTTAAGAAGGAAAGTGAGGAGTCCTTGTGTGTCCGCAAGTCTGCCAGGGCAGATGAGTGATCTGTAAGAAACCTTGGTAGTACCTGCACAGAGTCAATAGGAGCTTATCTGTGGGCTAGCTGTAGCAGATAATTACACATAACAGCAAAATAATTTCAAAACTCAAACCACTTCCTTTGTATCTGATCTTAAATACAATTTGCCCTCACTAATGCAGAGTTTTAGAAGGGCTGGCATCAAGCTTGCAATGTTTTGAAATGGAAGTGATCTCTAAGTGGCACTTCCAGGAACACCAAGCAGCTGCAGTTTTTGCTGGCCGTTGTAAAAGCTGCTGGTGTTCCCCATTATCCTCTAATTAGATCCCTTGTGATCCTGGTGGCATTCCAGGTAATGTGTGTGCTTCCCCCATGGCCTGTCTGCACTGGGTAGGTAGGATGTATTCAACATTCCTTCCCTTTCTGCCTAAAAATCAGGGGTCTCAGTTTTGTCAGCTTGAAACAGCTGTAAAAAATCGGTGTCAGACTCCTGAAGTGTCATTTACAGCTAGGCCGGAACAGGGACTGAGCTTGGGAGGGAGCCTTGCCTGCGTCAGTCCCATTGGCCTCGCTATTGCAGATCCAGACCAGGGTGCTTGGCCACCTGGGCGCATGCTGGCTCGTGTTCAGCCATTGCCAACCAGCTCCCCTCGGTCCTTTCCTGCCAGGCAGCTTTCCAGGCCTCTCTGCCCCAAGCCTGGAGTGCTGGAGTGGTTGTGACACAAGTGTAAGCCTTGAGTCAAGTATGTGGCAAGATCTCAAGAAACAAAGTTGCTGTAATAGTTATTCGTAGTGACTGAATCCGTGAATAATTTTCAGTCATGTAAGATCTAGTGAGACTGTGTGTTTTTCTGGCATACATAGCAGAACCTGTGCTTTTCTCTTATCCAATTTAAAGAAGATTAACAAACCTGAAATGCAGTCTCTGTTGAAGGCTCAGGGAAGCAGTAAAATAGGGAACAAAGTGACTATGGTGGTAACAATATTCTTAAAATACGTGCTGTGGTGTAATTTAGAAGTTGAAGTTTTTGTGGTAGCTGTAAATGTTTCTAAAGGGCTGTATCTTCTGTCAGGCTGGACTTTTTAGAAGAGTTTATTATTTTTCTACAGACTATAAGCATGACTAGTTGCAAGCTGGGGAAGGGAGGATTGATTGTGACTGGTCTTCATGTTTCTATCTATTGACTATCTTCAGTGATGTCAAGGAGCCATGGCATGCAGCTGGCTAAAATCAGCACCAAAATAGGATTATTTCTGTTCTGTTTAAGCTCAGTTTGAAGAGTCAGGCACATGGTGAATGCAGTAACTGTTTGGAACTTGCAGGGGGGAACTGAGCTGCATATTTAGTCCTCCTAAATTAGTTTGTGTGGCTGTAACTGAGCTAACAACAAGCTCCCTGAAAACTCTGCCACTCTCTAGTACTTAGCAGCCTGGCTGAGTTTAACAGATTTTTTTGCCTTATATCAGTGAAATTGTAGGGAAAAAACATTCTGTGAGCTCTACTTAAAATTAGATTTATTGCTTAATTTGGTCTCTTTTTTTTATCATGTTTAGAATCAGGCTTTCAGTGGGGGAAAAAATGACCTCTAATTGTGGCTGTTGCTGCATTTTGCAAGCAGTCTTGCAGCTTCTCTTGGAAATTCTTGGCTTGCTTAACCCACACAGAAACTCAAATAGCATTCAGTGAGAGCAGAGTAGGCTTACGTAACTTTCCTTGCTTTCTCTTGCAGAAGAGATGAGGTAATTCTCTCAGACCTGTTTGTAATGGCCTGGAAAAGTGTTTGGTTTCACTTTCAAATTCTGGATGATCTCACCATGGGGACTTGACAGTGGTGCTCTTTTTGTTTGGGAAAAATCCCTGCCTGTAATTCAAGGTTTTCTGTTTTGGGGCTTTTGACTCTGAAATCAGGTTTGTAGAGAAGCCTTACTTGCTTTATGTTCCAATACAGAACCTCAGTGTGCTGAAGAGCTACAGACTAGTTAGAAATAGCTGATCACCATGTAATGTGGCTGCTTTCTCTAAATGTGTGATGTATTACAGGGAAGCTAGGTTCTTGGCTGCCTGCACATGGAAGGAAAGATTTCTCTTATTTCTCCAGTTGGGTTTTCTGTTCCTAGAGCTCAAGATAACCCTTCATGTGATAAAACACTGCATTCCATAGTGATAGTTCTTGTAGGCAGGTAGTCCTTCTCTAATAAAGAACTGTGTTTGTCAAACAGGATTTAGAAATTCGGAACAGTTTTCCAGGATCTACAGCATCTGCATGAGTCTGCATCACATACAGGGACATACTGGTGACTCGGGCTTAGCTTCTGGAGTAGTCTTACTGAGACAAACCCCTCAGGGCTAGACAGTTTGAAAGCAGAGGGGTTTTACTGGGAGGAATGAGACCTGCACTCCTTGAGCATCTATATGGGCTGTAGGCATAGCAGTGCTGGTAATCTGCTTGCACAATGTTTTTTGTTTTGGTCACCTGGAAGCTGTGGCTGTGTAGAAGACAGATTTTGCTAAGATATCTTGTAGGTAGCTCAACCCTGAGTTTCGTTGTCTCTTGCGTTTTTAGTCTCAGTCCTTTTGCTTTTGTTTTGTGTCTTAAATCTCACAAAACTGTGTGTAAGCACAGGAATGGGCTTTCTTGGGAAAACCCCGGTGTCTGGAGGAGTCTGCAGCTACATGATGCAAGCTCTTGAGTTGGAGTGAATGTGCCCTGCCTGGGTAGATCTCTGCTCTGCCCACAGTGCAGCATGTTCTGGACCCAGGCATGTCCTTCTGCAGCAGTGTGTGGTGACAAGAGGCATTCACTCACTGCTCCTGGAGCAACGGCATTCGGGCAACTGGCCTTAAACTATGGGATTGTTTAAATGGATTGTAAATCTCTTAGCTGTTCGTGTGCTGTGACAAATGGCTGTGGGGTGAGGACTCAGTGCTGCTGTAACATGCCCACACACAGTCACGAGTAGGCATCTACAGACCATAAGGCCATGTGAACTGGTGAATTTCTTTCATAAAGGTGAATAGAAAAACCTTCTTTTCTTGACTATCTGACACTCTGACCCCATAAAATTTGGGTTGTAGGGCAAAGGTGAGTGCTGGTAAGTAAAACTGTAGCCAGGTACTTAACAGTTCTGTAATCTGTTTGTTTTGAATCTGTTTTGGTTGTCTGCTTCTGTGTACTATGGAACAAAACTTTCCAAAGTTTCTCTTGTTGAGCAAGGGGCATGGTTACGTACTTAAGTGGAGGAGAGTGACCTGGAATTCTGCTCTTACCATGTTGTCCTAGGGTGACTAGGTTTCCTCCTAAATTTGTCTCAAACTGGGATAAATATGAATCTTGCTTTTGGGATCCCTTCTTGCATTCTCTGTTGCAAACGATCCTGGCTGTGTTTGAAGGACCAGAAGATGCTTCTCTGGAGATCCCTTGCTGGGCTGGCAGTAGGACTTTTTGGTGAGCAGTTCCAAGGAAAGGGTTTGTGCTCCACAGCGCAGCAAGCAGCGTGCAAGTCCACCTTCCAGAGAGAAATATTTTGGACACTTGATCAGTCCATATTCAGACTGCTGGGAACAGCAGGACAGCAGAGAGAAGTTAATTTCCAGTGCTAGGATCTCTGCAGCCTTCCCACAACTGACTTGACTCAGGGTTGTGCCCCACAGATGGTTGTTGACCACTGCAAGATGTTTGCTGTCATTGCCCATCAATATTCCTCAACATGCACTGATTTATTAAAAGACACTGATGATGTTGAGACTTAGAAATGCCTGTGGAGGCAAAACATGTAGTATTAGAAACACAGGTGGATGGACCAGCTTAACTTTCAAAGAAAGACAAAATAACTAGGGCAAGTTATGTAACAATTTTTTTTCATCATGGGAAGAGTAATTTTAAATATTTGTACAGGCAAATATAAAACAGGTCTATTCAGCTTAGTAAACATTTTTTTAGTCTGCTTTTGAACTCAGAAAGAGAGCAGTGCTCTCTCAAGTTAAAACTTTTCCAGTTTGTTTTACCCTGTTTTAACAACAGCTGTTGAATATGCTGCTTGAATTAGGACGTGGTAAATGCATTTTGGCTTGTCTTCTGAGCATTACTAGCCCAGATGTTTTGATTTTTCTTGTTCAGTTAGTGTTTTGCTCATAAGAAATCGCATAGTGTTACACTGTGGGGCCACTTGGGCACTGGTTTATTGAATGAGCAATTTAGTAGCCTTAATGAATTTCCCCCCCCCCCAGTCTTTTCACTGTAGTTATTGGTTGTTGGTCTTTTTTGTTCTGTTTCATAGCTAAAAAATTCTGCTTTTTTTCAGGCTCACATTAAATTTCCTATTGACTATCCATATTCACCACCTACCTTCAGATTCCTGACCAAAATGTGGCACCCCAACATTTATGAGGTAAGGTGTTTTTTAAAAAAAAATTGTCTTCTGGGGTGTGTGAGAGAGCTTTGTGCTTTGTGCTTCCTTAAACTCAGTATGTGTATGGGTTACTTTCAGAGGGTAGCCAAGGCTGTGGGCTGTCAGCAGTTGGATCACAATAGAACAACACAGCAGGTCCAGGAGAGGAATGATTCCATATAGAGGCAATTGGTTCAATATCACCCAATTCCATAGAGCTGTATTGGAAGGCTGAAAGCCTGTTTTGGTTCAGAACTTGACCTTTATGGAGGTCAGCCAAATCCTAGCTGAAGAACTTTTGGGTGTCCTAGAAGAATGTCAGCCTGGTAAGAAGCACTGCCTCTGTTGTTTTGGGACCTAAAGGATTTCACAATATTCCTTTTGCTGCAGGTCTCTCACCTTATCACAGGTTTTCTCATGAGAGGTTTTGCAGACTTCCTTTGAACCCACCTGAAAACTGGAATGTCATTCTCTTCAATCCCATGAACAAATAAAGCCCTCAGTTGATATCTTGGGCTCGCAAAGTCCTTTTCTGATAAGTTCTTGCTGCCAAATGCCCAGCTTGGAATGGGTGTGCTTCAAATGGTGAGAAGTGCAGTGATGGCTTAGTAATAAATGTCTGGAAACCTTGCCAAACTTCAGTGCAGAACAGAATACTAACCCACTTTAATTATTAACTGATCCAGGGAATTGCCCTAAGCCCAGGGACATCCTCACATCAGTTATCTGACAGTTTTCTGATGTAGGTTTTGTACTTGGCACAGAATCTTTCCTGTAGCCAAGAATGATGTTTTTCTTTAAGGCTCTATTTCAGTTACAGGGAATTTTGATCTATAAATAAAGACAATTTTGAAGTCTTCAGATAATTGCAGACTCATACTGTGGGTATTGATTCTGAATCTGGAAATCCTCATGCAGGAGGTGAGTGGCAAATGGCTACCAAAATAAAATGTACAAAAACAAGCCTTGGAAAGAACCTCTCCCTGTCCTGGTGAGAAAGATGAAAAATTGACTAGAAACGACTGAAGGCAGCAGGAGGAACTAACCCAAAACTTGATGTGTGTATTTTGGGTTTGCTCTTCAAATACACAAGCTCTCAGTTTCGTGCTTTGTGTTTATAGGAGTATTTCTTGAAGCTGAGGGAATCTGAAGCAGCTTGCAGGCTGTTTTGGAAACATTTAAGCAATGAAGATGAGGCACTGGGGTTACTTCAGATGAAACTGAGACTATCTCAGCAAAGTGTTTGATGTTTGAGGGTTTTCAGGAGGAGGGGGGACAAAAATCCCCTCTTAGTGCAAGGAAGATGAAAGAAAGTAGCAGTTTACAGAATCTGCTGGTAGGACCAGATGGAGAGGCTGGGGCTGACATTCCAGTTCTGAGCAATGAGACTTGAGCAATGTGTGTTTTTTTCATCTCTGGTTTACTTGGGTCATCTAATTGAACTTCGGTAAAACTGCATTCACTTGCTCTTTAATTTTATGACATAGCCATTCTCAGTCCTGATAGAAATGGAGGATATACCTCAATGGCAGATAAATACCCCATTCTCCTTGTTTGTATTTTTCAAAAATGTATGCAGGGAGAGGCTTGGACCCTGACTGTCCTCATCTCTAGAACTTTGTGCTGACCTCATCAGGCCCCATTAAACCTTTACCTCTCCACATTCTTAATGAAAGTGCAGTTCCCAAACATGTAACACTGATTGTGGCAAGACAAAAACTTCTCACATCGTTGCTTCACTCTATCTTCATTTTGCCAAGTATCTGCTTGTCCACATGCTGCTGACCTGATTGCTTCAGGAACTTTTCCCAAGTGCTGAGGTACTTCCTCTGGCCACTAGCATTGCATTCTTCCAGGAAAAGGTTAATTAAAGGAAAAACTAATGGAAATTATTAGTGATAACAGAGTAGACTGAGCATAATCTAATATTAATAAAGTTACCTTCAGCTTGGAGTGATACTATAAAAGTTCAAGATTTCACAAGCCCGTTGGGGCACTAAAAGGGAAACTGCCTCCTTAAAGCAAACTGTTCCAGCAATGTAAGTATGTGCTTTGGAATTCAGCAGCTCCGGGTGCTGCCTTGCTGTGTTCTTAACTAAAACCTGCTTCACAGTGACAAAGGCCTGCTAGATTAGCATACCTGGCATGAATAGTGCACTGCTGAAACCTGGATACAGATCACAACCCCCCAGGTGAGCTGCTGCTATCTGTAGCTGTGATCACTGGCCTGGGCTCAAAGGCACAGATGCTGTTGCTGTGAGCAGCCCTGCTCTGTGCTCAGAGCAGTGTTGGAAGGATGTGAGACCAGGTGTGTGGGCAGCTTCCAGCCTGGAGTCCTGAGCAGAGCTGATCCCATCATCAGTCTGTGCCCTGGACTGGAGGGACAAGGAACAGCATGAATGCTGCCCCACAACTGGCTACAAAGCCCATGGGGCCTGGCCAGCCCCAGCCTCATCTGTACCTTCCCCCCATCCTGCAGTAGGGCACTGGTGGGTCCCTGGAGTCTGCCTCAGTGGAGGATATCAGCTGGGGTGGATACTGCTCCAGCCCTCCTACAAAGCAGTTGTGTCAGAGTGCTGTTGCTGATGAAGAATTGGGTTGACAGCTTTCCTAAATAGGAATTATAGAGCTTTAAACCTATATTCAGGCCATACAACTGGTGAGTAGAACACATATTGAGAATTATGTGGTTGTATGGCTTCTATATGCTGCCAGAATATTCTTCCTTTTGCATGCTGGAAGGGTTTTCAGTGAAACCTTCAGAAAGCATCTCCTGCTTTTTCATCTGGTATTCTGAACAGATGTGTCCTAGGGGAGCTGTGTAAGCCTGCCCCACGTCATCTGTTCAAGGTTCTTGTGTCCTGGTAGATGTAATGTTTTCATACGTGAGCTAGTAGATGGTGATTAAACCCCTCAATTCAAAAATTTCCTGTAGCTAGCCCAAGCTACCAGTTGGAGCACAAATTTTCTTTAACCCTACTTGGGGTCTCCTGTGATTAAGCCTTATGTCACTGTGGCAGTAGTACTTGCTATCTGGAAACCAATCTAGTTTTATGTTACATTATTGCTATTTTTGCTTACTTCAGTACGTTCTTTAAACTGCTTGATTTTTATATTGGGGTTTTTTGCCAGTTTGCAGGCTAGCCCTTGGGTATATAGTAGATCCAGGAAGAATTCAGAACCATTTTCAGCCCTTGCTGGTTTTTGCTGGCACTTGGATATTCATATCAACAAGGTTAAACTGATCAGAAGACGGTCTGAATGGTGGATTTGAGTTATCAGGCCTCAGCCTCCAGCCAAGCTATTCTCAGTGCTTTTTTCTGTCTTGCAGAATGGAGATGTATGTATTTCAATTCTTCACCCACCTGTAGATGACCCACAAAGTGGAGAGCTACCATCAGAGAGGTGGAACCCTACCCAAAATGTCAGGTAACTGAATATGTTGTGCAGTGGTGACCTCAAAGGCCTGCCATCTCCACAAGACCTAAGGGCTATGGTGGGAGGGGTTTGGGAGGGAATTTAAGGTTTTGTGGGGCTTAGGGCTTGAATCAAGCAGGAACCAGACATACCAGTCTGTCTGAACTTACTGGGCTGACAGTGCAGAGCCTTCTGTCCTATTTACAGGGTTTCATACTCCAAAGGCAAGTTATCTCAAATGTTGAAGCCTATCTCATCACTGTTATCTTCTTCAAAGTACCACTAGTGGAAAAGTGTGTGTAATGGGTTCCAGGTGCACACCAAACTGCTGTATTACTCCCCTTCCCTGTAGGACGTGGAAAAGAAAAATAACACAGAAAGCAACTTCCATGTTTGAGATAAGGCAGTTTACTAAAGCAATAACAAAAGCTTGTGCACTTAAGCAAAGGGGAAAAAAATTAATCTCTGCTTACCATTGGTGAGCAACATTCAGCCACTTCCCAGGAAGCAGGGCTTCAGTGCATGTAGCAGTTGCTCCAGAAGGCAAACACTGTGATATAACAAATGTCTCCCATTCCTCCGCTCTCACTTCGCTTTCATGTCTGAGCTGATGTTATATTATGGTATGGAATGTCCCTTTGGTTAAGTTGGACCAGCTGGCCTGGTTGTGTCCCATCTTAGGATCTTGCCACTCTCAGCCCCTTGATGGGAGTGGGGAATGTTGGGGACAGCACTGGTGCTGTGCCAGTGCTGCTCAGCTGTAGCCAAAACAATTGTGTGTTATCATACCTGTCTAACTATGAATGGAAAGCACTGGGGGCTGCTAAGGGAAAATGAGATACAGCTCAGCAAACTCAATACAATCTCCACTCTTAATTCCATACCATTTGTTTCATCCTACATAATGTATTTATCTTCCAACTGTTCCACTGTATTTCTTTCTCATTACTGGAATTCCTTCTTACCCACACCTGCACCCCAAACTGCATCCTTGAACCACCTCTGTACCAAATGTACATTTTTGTTAACCTGTCCTTTCACAGATGGATATTATTCTCTTGTTTCATGGCTTTCTCCACCCCTCCAGATCCATGACTTGTGCTCTACCCCATCAGGATGGGTGGTCAGGACAGGAGAAGCAGCACACTTGATCATTGGTCACCAGCCTGGCTCACATCATCATCACATTCTCCTTGCTCCTCACAAAATTCATTCTTTGTCAGGTCATGTTGTTCCTGTTCCGTTACTTCCTGTGACATAAAACTCACACAGTTTGTTTTCCCCCAAGGTTAAATTTCCTTGAGGTACACACTGGGTCTCCCCATCCTTCCATGTTACCTGCCAAGTACACCCAGGTCCTTGGGTAAAGACAATCCCACCAATGTGTTTGCTTCTTCCCATGGGACAAGAATCCACACTGACTTCCCCAGCCACTTTCCTGTGTGTAGTGCAGGAACCTTATCTCCTCCCACAGTGTTTGTGGGCTCAGTTTGGGCAGGATCAGTGCAGTTAGCAGATCCCCTAGCACTGACCCGCCAAGTGGCTTCTTTTGCATCCCAGTGCTTCCATGTCCCATTACCTAAAATTCTTAACAGGCTTCAGCATTTCTGAGACTTTCCAGAGGTGTGTGGGTGGTAAGGGATGTGATATATTCTATATATGTGATATATAACATCTCTCAATGTTTCTTTGCTTTGGAGTTTATGAGATTATTTTTAAAATTAATCCTATAGTTTGATTCAGTTCTCTCTGGGGTACCATGTCACCGCAAAATGTATCTCTCAAGAGCTGAGATTGTGTTCCAGGCAGTGGCATGGTTTACTGGGTACATTTCCAGCTAGTTGTTGCCTCTGATGTAGCAAGTTTGTAGCTCTTGCCTCGGCATGTGTGTGGCCCAGCGTAATCTATTTGCCAGGCCTCACCACACTGGAAAACCAGCCGCCACCCTCTGTTCCAGGGATATTTCACTCACTTGATGGCAGCACATCTTTCACATTTGTGGATAACCTGTGTGATGGCCTCTGTGGTCAGCTCCACCCCTCAGTCATGAGCCCATCTGTGTGTTGTGCCCCTTCCTAGATACCCTGAAGTGGCCTGGGGCTAGAAATAGCTCACCCTTTTGCTCCCAGCCTTAGTCTCCCTGAGCTATTCCAATCTTCACAGCCTTAACTATCTGCCTGTTGTTCTGATGTTCTTCTGCAGTGGATAAGTACCAGGAGGCATCGCTCACCAAACACCATCACAGACAAAATAGTCTAGAATGAGAGATACTAATTAAATTTGTTACCAACAAAATCAGAGCAGGATAATGAGAAGTAAAATAAGACCTTAAAAACACCTCCCTCCACCTCTGCCTTCTTCCCAGCTGTACCCCGTACCACAGCAGGGTATGGGGGTAGTGGAATGGGGGTCACAGTCAGTTCATCACACATTGTTTCTCCTGCTGCTGAGGATGAGGAGTGTTCCCCTGCTGCACTATGGGTCCCTCCCACAGCATGCCAGTTCTGCATTAACTCTGCCAGCATGAGTCCACCCCATGGGCAGCAGTCTTCCCCAAAATGCTGCAGCATGGGTCACACTTCCATTGGATGCAGTCCTTCAAGGACCAGCTGCTCCAGTGGGAGCTACTCTCTCCATGGGTCTCCCACAGGATCACCTTTGGGCACCCCCTGCTCCAGGCTGGGCTCCCCCAGGGCTGCAGGTGGATCTCTGCTCCCCCGTGCCCTCCCTGGGCTGCAGGGGCACAGCTGCCTCAGCCTGGGCTGCTGCAGGGGAATCTGAGCTCCAGAGCCTGGAGCAGCTCCTGCCCCTCCTGCACTGCCCTGCCTGCCTGCACGGATGCTCCTCTCTCATGTTCTCACTCCATTCTTCTCAGGACACAATTAAAACTTTTTTCTTGTTAAGTATGTTATCACAGAGACATTGCCACTCTTTCCAGTTGGCCAGCCTTTACCAGTGGAGCATCTGTCCTTGGAGCTGCCAGGCTCTGCTAGACATAGAGGAGGTTTCTGGCAGTTTCTCACAGAAGCCACCCTTGTAGCACCTTGACTACCAAAACTTGGCCGTGCACACTCAATACAGGATGGTTTTGAGTATTCTGACCAGTAGAACAACTTTGCAGAGTTCTGGCTGTTGTTTGCATTCCATTGTTTGTCTCCTGTCCTCCTGAGTGGTGTTGGTAGCAGCTGGTGGTTTTCTTCCTGACAAAAATACAAAGGATCAGTAAGTCCCAGAGACATTCAAGGCCTAACCTGTCCATGCTTTTGAAACAGCAGCTGAATTTCATTCTCATTACAAGACACTGTCAAATAAAGAATCAACTAGGTTACAAGCCTTAACTCAAAGTTAGGAAACAGCTTTGGGCATTAATTACATAAATCACACAAACATTTTGGGTATTTCATTATATTCAACCCTAGAGACTGACATGGAACTTATCATTGTGCTTGTTCTCTAATTTCTGCTGTCCCTCACCACAGTTGCAGTTTTTGGTGCTAATGCTCTTGAATCATCTTGGGCATAAGGATGACAGGTCAAAACATTCCTCAGCAAATGAAAATAAAACTGGTCCTTCACTTGTAGCCTGCTGCCACCATCACCAGTTGGGCAGAGTGCCAGCAGAAGCGCATCCTGCTGGGGTCCCATCTGGCTTGGGAAAGCTCCAAAGTGTCAGACAGGAGGCACAGGGGCCAAAGATGTGGGAGGGAGCTGCTCCTCTGCTGCTGAATTCTGTAAATCCTGCCAAGTGATGACCATTTCCCCACAGATGAGCAGGGTTGAAGTGTCTGAAGGGGGAAATTCATTCTTCAGCTGTGAGAGTTCACCTGTGCTTCTGAGGGTGTCAAGCAAGCTCATTTATTTTTTTAAACACAATCAGTATGGGCTTTCCCATCACTGGGAACAAGGTGATGCAGGCATAAGTAAACACAGCAAAACCCAGCAAGATGTGGAAGAATGTAGCTCTGATGTGTTTGGCAGAGAATCCTGCTTCCTGTGTCCCTGTTCCTGTGAGGGAGCTCAGTGAGTGGTAGAAGGCCAGGGGTTGAGGCTCTGATCATTTTAATTGTCCTTCTCCACATCTCCCCGGCCTCCCCTGCCCTTGAGCTGCACAGGCCAGGACTTGCACAGTATTCAAGGTACTGGCACACCTGTATCTCCTGCAGATAGCTGAGTTACTCTCTGCCTGTTGCTTTGTTTCTTGAGGATTCCCACTTGTCTTGGCTTTTGTTGCTGCCCGAGATCTGGGCAGATTCCACTTGATCCAGTAACATGACTGTCAGTGCAGCCTAGGCTAAAACTTTTGACTTTATATCAGAAGGCAAAAATGCACTTGGACCAATCTATACATACCTCTTGAGGTGGCTCTGAGAGGCTACAATGTGGATAGCAGCTGGAATTTAAAAAAATATTCATTTTTCAACAAGGAATGTAATAGGATGTGCTGGTTGGTAGCACCAGCTAATCTACATTATGTCTCTTTGGGAAGAAATTGATCTGTCTGAACCTTCTTACACTGATACAGGATAAAAAACAGGAACAGGTCTGTTTCCTTGAGCCTCTGCTGGCTGCTCTTCCATGCACAGCTGCCTTGTCTGAGAGGAGACAGATCCCTGACAATATCCCAGAGACTCAGCCCATACCCAGCCCATGCAGTTTGCATCTGCTGCTGAGGTTTTCAGTCCCATATGGCTGAACTTTTTACTGGTGTTAGTCCTGTCAGATCCCCCATGCTGGGATGCCTTTCTGTTACTGTCCCCTCTTCAAGGCAAGCAGTTTGAGTTGGAGGACACTGTCCAGCTCTTAAAGGTATCAGCAGTGATGGAGCTGGTCTGATGTGCTGGATGGGAAGGAGGAGCTCAGAGAATGAACTGTACAACAGTACAGTTGATCAAACAACTGTATTCACTTCTAATAATACATTCTTGGTGAATTTAAGTACCTTAGCAGTAACTTCGGTGTCTGGACACCACAGTGAAAATTGGCTTTTCCTCACTGTTGTTGGAAGTGTGGTAGAGCAGATGGTAAATCCAGATATTAATTCCTGTCCTTGGCCTTCCCTAGACTTTGTTTGCTTTGCAGAAAGCTGCTGCATAATGCTGGAGCTGACATGCTGGCCTGTTTGCAGAGAATCAAGGGCTCTTAAATGAATTCTTGAGATGAAGTAGAAAATGATCTCTTATGCCCATCATTCCAACCCAATGAGACAGTTTCTTCCAGAGCTGCTGTTCTCTTTTCGTACAAAATTATATAATTTAGAAAATGAATTGTATAAGACTCTCTTGATGGCTGTGCTGAACAGTCTGTTCAGATACAAGTGTTTATTTTCAAAACCTTTCAAGGTACTCAGTATCCAAATGACCAAGCATTTCCTGGAATTGTACCCAGATATATGATCTGGTAGATGTGCTCTGAACATGCCCCTGAATCAGTGCAAACACGACTGTGGCTGCCAGTCCTCTTTAATCAAGGTCTGCAAAGTGGCTGTTGGGTAATGCTGTGTTTCAAGAGCTGTTCCCTGTCCCTTGTTTGTCCGTTCCCCTTGAAAGGGAAGCTGTTGCTGGCAGGACCACTGGGATGGGTGATGCTGTCATGGTGGCTGGAAATGGGTGTTGGTGCTGGTTGAGGCACAGTGTGAGCAGCAAAGGCTGCAACTCCCAAGTGCAGGGTTCTAGGAGCTGCAGGGGAAAGCTCTGGACAAGAGGATGGTGTTTGCAGCTGGTAAATGCCAGCAGAGCAGGGCCCCTGGCTGGAAATCCCAGAGGACTGTCTGTCTACCTGCCCCACCTGCCTGCCAGGGGTTACATGGCTGGCTCATGCTGGCTCTGCTGAATCCCACTGGGCCCTGGCACCTTGCCTGGGCATTGAAAATCATCCACACTGTCCTCCCCTTGCTGTGCTTGAGAGCTGCTGCTGCAGCCTGAGTGGGGGGAGAGGAGAGTCATGCCCCAGCCTCAGCCTCCCAACCACCTGGCAGGGCAGGGGAAGAGTAGTGCAGCCTTTTCTGCTGGCCTTGGGTCATAGCAGTTCTTCTCCCTGTGCAGGGCAGGCAAACAGCCTGGCCTGGCTTCCTGCTGGAGGCTGCAAGCCACTAGGAGCAGCTCACAGAGCAGATTTCCAGCCCCACCGCATCTGTGGGTAGTGCAGTCCAGCTGAATTCTGCTCTGATTGTAGCTTTCTGTGCTGCCCTGTCCCAAGCACAGACACGATGGGCTGTAGTCAGATGAGGTTTGTGTTGTATCACCTTCCCTACACCAATGTCCAGGGCCTGAGGTTCGTGAGTACCTGTTGTCACTTAAAAACACTGTCCTCAGCTTAAGAGGACAAGTTGACTTCAAACAAGTTTATGATGCAACACCTAAAGAAGTTGTGGATATCCAGAACCCATGAATGCGTTAGCTCTGACTGCTGTTGTGGTTACCTTTTTCAGGACTATCTTACTGAGTGTAATCTCTTTGCTTAATGAGCCCAACACATTCTCCCCAGCCAATGTGGATGCATCAGTCATGTTCAGGAAATGGAGGGACAGTAAAGGAAAAGACAAGGAGTACGCTGAAATCATAAGGTAAGCTTTGCCAGTTGTGATGTTGGGCTACCAGCATTCTGCTTTGAATCCTGTCAAACAGGCTGCTTCCAGAATTTGCTGAAACCAGCTTCTCACAGCAGAATGTAATTTGGAAATTAATTTCAGTGTCTTATTTAAAGTCCATGCTTCAGGTCCCTCCAGCATTTTCAGCACACAGAAGCAGTGCAAACTTCTGGGGCAGGAGGACTGGGCTGATTTGTCTTCAAATTGTTCTTTTTTCAGACTAATCTGTCATGATGCTCTGCAAAACCTATTGGCTACTAGTAAATCCCAGTCTAAGTCCCTGCTTGTCTTTAAGCCCTGCATTGCTTGGGATGTGATGCAAACTGACTGCATCCTACTAATTTCTGTGCCTAATGCATGCACGAATCATAATCTTGTCCCTCCAATTCAAAGGAGCCTCAGCAGGATTTGTCAAGGGCTTGCAGAGCTGGGTTGGATTAGCTGGAACCAGTGCTCAGTCCCTCCCTTGGAGAAGTCCATGGTTCATCAGGAGCTGTAGGGGGATAATGTGAGCGTGCGCCAGGACTGCTGTGGAGGGACAGCCCAGCCTGGAGCAGGACTGGTGGCACGAGGCCACATCTGCATTGTCTGTGCCAGCTGGGCCGGCAGGATGTGGCCCTGGGTGGGGCCAGCGGGCTCTGCTGTGCCGAGAATCCTCCCTGGGCTCCAGCAGGGCTGGGTGCACTCCACACAGGGAATGGCAGACTGAGGGCCCTGCGTGGGTGAGGGGACAGGCTGCCGTCTGCTCCTCCTGCTGGGATGCAGCAGCCAGGCCTGGCTCGGGGTCATGGAAAACACTTGGCTCCTGCGAGCCCCAGGCTGTGCTCTGGGGTGTGCCATGAGCCCCAGCTGCTGTGCCCCTCCAGTGGGAGCTGAGAGCTGCCAAAGGCTTGTGGGAATTGCAGTTTTGAGCATGCTGTGGGAGAGCAGTCAGCAGCAGTCAATAAATCACCCTAGGAAATCCCTGACCATCCCTGCAGTAGTGAATGGAATTTGCTTTGGCCTCTGGCAGGTCTCTAGTGCAGAGCCTGTGGAATAGCTGATTTCATGAGAGGGTGTGTGCTGCAAACCCCCTTGGCATGCTCCCAGGCCTGAGGCTGCAGGAACCAGATCTGTTTCCAGTGCTGTTTGTGGTGTGTCCTGCCAACCTCAGTCCCTTCCCAGCTGCCGGGAGGGTGGGGCAGGGCCTGGAGAGCAGGCTGGGAGCTGAGCCACGGCACCCGGCCCTGCTCACATTCCTGTGTATCCTTCTCCCGCAGGAAACAGGTTTTGGCTACCAAAGCTGAGGCAGAGAAGGATGGTGTGAAGGTCCCCACTACACTGGCAGAGTACTGCATCAAAACTAAAGTGCCTTCCAATGACAACAGTTCAGATTTGCTTTACGACGACTTGTACGACGACGACATTGACGATGAAGACGAGGAGGAGGAGGATGCCGACTGTTACGATGATGATGATTCTGGCAACGAGGAGTCGTGACCTGCTCCCTCTATGCCCCTGTACTGCCCTGCCGACTCAGGCCAGAAGGGAGCAGCGGTAACCTAGCAGCAGTCCAGCAAAAAAGTGGGGGGGAGGGGTGTCAAAAAAAAAAAAAAAAAAAAAAAAAAAAAAAAACCCAACACAAAACTTTGTCTCCTGCTGTCTCCTGTTGTATGGATCTGTTCGCTCCTTTTTTATGGACCTCTTAGAGACCCTCCACAGAATGTCTGAATTCTTGCATTCTTAACCCTTTCATCACTGTATTACAATTTCTTTTTAAAAAAGAAACTCCCCTTTTCACTTCTCCACGAAATGCTCACAGCAAAACAGGTTTGCTCGTGTTTAGATTCTTGAATTAAATACAGTCTTGCATTGAGATGTTTAATGTATTTAAAGCTGGAACAAACCCATTGGAAGCTGGGATTTTGGGAGCTCAAAGTGCTGCATTTACTGGGAAGAAAAAAAAATCCCCACTAAGCAAATTGCCAAGGTTTAGCTGCTCCATTTACAATAATAGCGTGTGTACATTCGTTTAGCCTTGTGGTGGTGGCTTTTCCTTTATAAGGTGTGGGGCGGAGAGTGTTAAAGCTACTGTGTGTTGAGCTTGATGGGATGTCACTGAAAGGTACAGTATTCCTTTTCAGCCTGCTAGGTTAGGAAATAGCTGGCCCCTGGAGCCCCAGAGGGCACAATCAGCTTTGTCTCTGGAAAAGGCTTGTGAAATGAACCTAAAATAAACACTTAACACTTCACATCTGTACAACTGAGCCCTGGGTTGCTATTTTTTTTTTTTTTTTCCTTTTTTTTTCCCCAGGCTCGGATAGGGTTGAAAAAGTTCAGTTTAGCCATTCTGCTGAGATCTGCTGCCAGCTGCCCCTCTCTGGAGGGAGGAGAGCAGATGTGCATCCTGCTGCCCAGAGGGCTACCATTCTTGCTGGATTTACTTTTGGCAGTGGGACAGAGCAGCAGCTCCTGCCCGTGCTGGCTGCAGCCCCTGCTCCCTGCAGCCCCAGCCCTGGGCATCTGCAGCTGCCTCCCATCACCTGTGTGGGTCACCTGCGGGCAGGGCTGCTCCCTGCAGCCCAGTAAAAACACCTGACATGCACTTGCTTAGACGTAGGTTTGTCTGCACTGAAAAGGTAATCAACTGTAGGGGAGATAAAAAGGTTTATGATTTCAAAAAAGACAATCCAGGTGATACAGTGTGAGATAGATCCTAGCTCTCTGATGATGTCTGGAATTCTGCCCACTTTTCATAGGCATTGACTTCCATTCTAATTCTCTGCCTAAACATGGAAGCTGAAGTTATTGGGATTTCGACTACACACAGAAGAGCTCCTAAAAGAGGGGAATTCTGTTTGTCCTCCACCAGCACTTGCATTTTTATGGAGGCAAATCCTTTACTGTGGTTTTTCAGCAGAATGGTAAGAGGTAGCATTGACTAGATTTTTTTTCTTTTTTTCTTTAAGAGAAGTACTTAGCATGCATTTCCCAGAGGAATTCAGAGGAGAGCCCGCGGGGCCGGCGGAGTTCGGAGCTGGCCGGGTGTCCGGTCTGTCCGTGTGTCCGTGTGTCGGTGCCGCGGGGCAGCGCTGGGCTCTCCCGCCCGGCTCCCCGGGGCGCAGCCAGCCCCAGGGCAGAGCGGGCCAGCCGCGGGTTCTGACGGGCTCTCCGCAGCTGATGCTCCGTGCTCAGCCTCCCGCATGTTTTTGGGAGCCCTCGGCAGAGCTTAGGGCGCTCCATCGTGGGCAGGGGGATCCTGCATGTTCCTGCCCCAGACCCCTCTTCCTCCGGCGCTCGGCTCCCCCGTGCAGGTGCTCGAGTTGGGCTGCGGTGCCCGAGTTCCGTCCCGCAGGATCCCCGCATCGGCAGCCGGGCCTGGCGGCCCCGGGAGCAGCTCGGAGGTGCTGGCCCTGCTTGGGCGGGACCCTGGGTCCCCGCAGGTACAGAGGCATCACCCTGACCATAGCCCGCGCCTCCCCGCCGTGTCTCAGGGTTTTCCATGGTACGTCCCCAGCTGCGGTCCCTCGGGGGTGCCTCGGTGGGAGCAGCCTTGTTCGGGATCCGCGCCCGGGGCAAGGCTGAGCAAAAGCTCCGGGGGCGCTGCTCGGACGGGGAGGAGAGGAAGGCCCTGGGGGCTCCGCATGAAGCGAGCGAGGCAGATCTGTTCCCAAAGGGTTGCGGGGCTGGGGTTTGCAGGGACTGTCCCTTCCCGGCGGTGCATCCCTCTGCCCGACCGCCATTGATTCCTTGTGCCCGGCGCTGCCTCGGCCGCCCGCCCTCCTGCTTGCACGTTACCTGGGAAGGCAGCTGCGCCCTCCTGAGCTGCCAGCCTTCCTCCAGCAAGGACATACCCAGCCCCAGCTGCTTTTTGGAGCCTGCAGCGGGGCTCCCCTGCGTTTAGTGACAGTGTGGGGCACCCCCAGCTTCAGAGCAGCCCTGCGAGGGCAGCGCCAGGGCTGGCAAATGGGCCCCGATGCTCCCGGGTGCGGGGTTGGACTCGGGGCCTGCCAGGGCAGGGACACCAAGCTCCAACTTGCAGGCGGCTGTGGGGGCTGAGGGAGCAGAGTGCGGCAACACTGTCTTTGCTGATGACTTGGTTGGAAATGAGGATACTGCATCTTTCAGGATTTCCCTTGTACTTTTGACCGTCTTCACTGTATACTCTCCAGTGACTTGTATTTCCAAGCTTGGTGTTGTAAGATGCATTATTATGACTCTTCTGTTACCCTTTTTTAATGACAAAAAAAGCAACCTCTTTTGAGAGCTCCGACATTAACCAGACTAATTTCTCTTCCCCACTGTCCTGTGCAGTGTCATTGCTTGTTGACTTGCTGGTTTCCTTTTTTTTGAAATACAACTGAAGTATGAGGGGATTTTTTTGAAACTATTTAAGAGATTGCAGAAAAATGTTTACCTGCTCTGTGTATTCTGGGTTTTTCTTAACCCCTTTTCTCCTGTTTCAGTCAATATTAGCGTTTACATTTGCAGCTACATGTCCCTTCAAATGCAGTTTTCAACCATTCTGAAACCAGCAGGGTACACTAGGTTTCTTGTAGTTTTCTTAGCTGAACTCCCAGATCTTTTCCTTTTTTTCTTCAGTATAATTTACCAGAAAGAATTAACTGATGCATTTTTGTGTTGTCTTCTCCTTCAGTAGTTATATTTTGTCTTTTCTGCACATCTGTCTACTAATAAAAATGTGAAATGAAAATATCTCCATGCTGTTACTTTAATGTTTGAACTGGTTGCATTGCATGGGTTCCTCAAAGCTTTGAATAACAGCTGTTCACGAGCTCATTGCTCCTCTGGCATCAATGGACATATTTATACACCAATATCTTTAAGTTTATTGCAAAATAATGCTGCAGTTTGACAGCTGCCTGCACCTAAGACTAAAGAACAAACTGATTTAGAGGACTTTGGCAAAAGGCCAGACCTTTGCTGTTATATTTAGTCTCCCTAAGCAGGAAGGGGGAGACCAGTGAGAAGGTGGTCTGTGGATTCATGTGACCAGAGCAGGGATGCAGGATTTGGGCCAGAGCTCCCGGTGCCCTGGCAGGGCAGGAGCACGGAGCTCCTGAAAGGGTTGGACGGGGTGGGAGAGGAGTTTGACCGCGGGGCCAGGGAGCAGCTTTGGCAGAGAAATTGAGGTCACGGCTGTCAGCCCTGCCAGGTGCCAGCCCTGCCGGTCCCGCACTGTTCCCTGCAGGCTCGGAAGGGGAGCAGGGTGTTTGCACTGCCCGGCCGCTGCAGCTGAGCTAAAATTAGTGGGACAAGTGTCAGGGAGTTGCACTGGCTGCACTTGGTATCGATGGCAGCACAGCAACTGCTGAGTCAAATGTGGCTGGAGCCCAAGTGCTTCTGCTGCACAGCTGAGCTGGAGGGAGTGTGATGGCATTTTGGAGCTGCCTTCCCAAAGCAATCTCCAATCTCTGGAAAGGGACCGGGAGGGATGGTTCTGTCTGGGACCTGGGCTGCTCGTATCTCCTGCCTGACCCTACAGCACTGGGCTGCCCAGAGCTGCCAGCAGCTGCTTCCTCCAGCAGCAGTGTGGGACCAGAGGCAGGGCAAGGGCTCCAGCCCACCCTGCCCTGGGTAAGTCTGGGGGGCAGCAAAGCGGGGTTTTCCTCTTCTCTCCTTGGTGGCCAAGTGCAACTGGGCAACTTCTGCCATCAGCAGAACAGGGCTTAGAGTGAAATTGCTGCAGGCAAGTCTGCCAAAGTGACAATGTGGGGGAAGGGAGAAACGTTTTGTTGAGTCTCACAAGGAGGAGAGGAGCCTGCCTATGGCTGTGTGGGCAGGACCCCAGAGCAGCTGGGAAGGTGTGAGTCCTGAGGCTCAAGGGCTGCTGGGGGCTGGCACCATCTCTCCCCTGCTGCCTTTCCCCAGCTCCAGCTGCTGCTGGACACGCACTCAAGAACTGAGCTACACCTGCGGGGCAGCACTGCATGTCTGTAAACAAGACCTGGAGAGTGAAGGCAGCTCTGGGGCTGTCTGTGTTTTGAAGAGGGTGAATGAGGTGCTGCTGCTGTGAGGGCTCAGCTGCTGGCGCAGTCTTGTACAAACTGATGGGCCCCAGCCTGCAGAAACATTTTTGCCCTCCTTGACATTCAGGCCCCAAAGCTGTTGGCAGTGGGACAGCAGCTGATAAGGGCTTGGAGCAGCTGCTGGAGTTCAACCAGTGTCAAAACTTAAGGCACGGCAGAGGAATGCCATTGTAGTTCTCCTGCTGTTCAGAGCCCGGGGGGAGGCCTAGGTGACAACTGGGCCTCGCAGGGCCATCTGAGAAAGAAAAATGGTTCTCAGGATAGAAACAGATTTATTTTTTCTTGCGGATACTAAAAGAATAAAAGCTCCTTGCCTGTTGTGTGTTTCACATTTACCCACTTCCTCTGCTGCACAGGGACAGGGTGACCAGAGGGTAAGTCTGGGCAGGAGCCTTCCCTCAGGAGCTCTCACACCCCAGCCCTTCCTCCCAGTGGAGCCCATGGACCTCGTGAGCAAAGTGAGAGGGCAGAGCTGCAGCTGTGCTCTGTCCTTACCAATGCCAGCTGCTCACAGGGACTGGAGCACCATCCCAGGAGAACCAAAGGCAGAACGGGCTGCTCATGGCAGCAGGGAGGATGTGGCTCTGGATCCCATCCCTGCCGGGGGTGCCCGAGAGCTCTCAGCACGCAGGTGAACTCACTGCTGTCAGATGCACCTGCTGCTCCTGCCCTCCCAGCCTGGCTGCTGCTGCAGGAGCAGGCACAAAGGGACAGGCTGTAAAACTGCTCCTGGAGCCTTTGAAAATGCAGACAAACACCGGTGGTATGATCAGATATTTATTAGGTGGAGAAAGGGCTATAAAGAAATGAAAGTCCTAGAACATTCACTGGTGCAGGACAAGAAGGACCAGGAGCTGCCTCCAAGGTTTTTGTTTTTAAAAAAGTGGGGAGGGACAGATGAAGTTTCCATCCAGTAGCTCTGGCTGTCCTGGGAAGGTGGCTCAGGACAAGAAGAGGTACAAGACACAGCTTATACTTTTATTTAAGAAACCGCTACATAGATTTTCCTCTAATGATGCAAAGGAGGTTCCAGGACACACTGAGCCATCCAAAGTCTCTTGCTAGAGAAAAACACCACCAACAAAAAACCCCTGCACAAGCAAAAACCAAAACCCTGTCCTTTTTATTATTATTATAAAAAAATTGAAAAATTAGAAGTTGAGACTGCAGCTCAAGGCCACAGTGATGAAACTGCCTACAAGAGCTTGTCTTCCACAGCAAGACGGCGGGAGGGAGGGAGGAAATGAAAGAAAGGGGAAGGCCCACAAAACTTTTTTTGCTTCTTTCTTTTATTTTCCCCCTCTAAAATAACAGGTATATTGGGGGTCGGGGGGTACAATCAAACCAACAGGACGCATCTTGATTTAGGTTTTTGGAAGGGCAGGTCTCCTTATTTGTCTGAATTGAGAACTGCATTAAATAAATGGGCTCCAGCTCCAAAAAAAGGGCGCAGTTTGTCTGACAGAGTTACAAAACCCATAGAACTTAGAATACAAAACAAAGAACGATGCCCTGGTGCAGATGGAAAATGAATAATTAGTTTTCCTACAAAGAAAATAAAGGAGGCTGCAAGATGCAGAAATCCACATTTAGGCTCTATTACATTTACAAATACATACATAAATATATTACATATAACAGCAACTCAAAGAGGAAGCAGGCGAGTCACACAGAGGATGGCTGGCTGGCTGCAGTTCTCCCCGCACAGATGTTTGGCTGAGCAGTTACTTTTCGTAATAATTCGAAGAATGGGCTTCAGCTTTTATTTTCTTTTTTCTCTTTTCTTTTGTTTTCTTTTTTTTTCCTTCCTCCTCTCCTTTCATTCTCTCCCCCCTCCCCGGTTTTGGGTTTAGTTTGTCCAGTATGGAGAAGTGCCATAGGCGGTTTTGGTAGCCTGAGACTTTTGCTGCATGGTGCTGGGTTGGTTGCGTTGGCCAGATCCACCCTAGAAAAGGGAAACAAAGGAGACAGGAGCATCAGCTGCCACAGCACCAGCATTCCCAGGAAGACAAGCCCACCCCAGCATCTCCAGGGACAGCCCTGACACCCAGCAGTGCAGCAATGCTCCCCCCTGAACAGATCTGCTTCTGCCCTGCACCATCTCTGCATCCCACGGTCCAGGCCAAACAACCATGGGCACACCAAGCAGGAGCTTGGGATGCACCACCACACTGCCTCCCAAGCACAACAGGCTCAAGCACAAGAAAAATGAGGAGCAGGGCCAGGCACAGCAAAGGAGCTTTCCCAAGGTGAGCCAGACAAGGATGTGACACATTTGGAGCACAAAATCATGTCCCATTACTGGACTATAAAGCTGAGCACTGTTTTTTCCAGGGAATATTTAGTGCTAGGAAAGTAAACACATGTGCAGGTGAAACCCAATCAGAGCTGACATGCAACCTGCAGGGGATGCTTGATTTTTCCCCAGAATCACATCCTGCCCTCCTGCCCCCCTGACAGGGGACAGCAGCACCTGCCTTGGCTTCACACCCCACAAACCATCCGTGCCCAGCCCACAGCAGGATGGGCTCCTCACACAGCCACAGCCTGGCTGAGGCAGGCAGGGATCTCTTGAGGTATCTCGTCCAACCCCTTTGCTCAGGCAGGATGACCTAAGAGCCAGCTGCCCAGCATCACTCCCAGACAGCTTCAGGGATGGAGACCCCGCCAGCTTCCTGGGCAGTGCTTGGTCCCCATCCCAGCAAAAACTTTCTCTGATATTCAGAGGGAACTTCTTGTGTTCCAGTTTGTGCCCCCTGTTCCTGTCATCGGAAAGAACCTGGCTCCGGCCTCTTTACATCTTCCCTTTCTGCACATTGATGAGATTCCCTCTCAGTGCTCTCCAGGCTGAACTGCCCCAGCTCCCCCAGCCTTTCCTCACAGGAGGCAGGATCCAGCCCCTCCATCAGCCCTTCCCTGGGCGCTCTCCCACACACCCACGTCTGTCCCACAGTGGGGAGCCAGCACTGGACGCGGTGCTGCAGCTGTGGCCTCACAGGGCTGAGCAGAGGGCAGGAGCAGCTCCCCTCGCCTGCTGGCAGTGCTGAGCCTGGAGCAGCTCAGGATCCCATTGTCCTTTTCTGCTGGAAGGGCACATGGCTGCATCAGGGTCAGTTTGTGCTCACCAGGCCCCCAGGGCCTTTTCTGCTCTCCAGCAGGGGGTTCCTGACTTACATTGGTGCATAGGCCTGCTTTCTCCCCAGGGACAGAAGTGGCATTTCCCCTTGCTGAACTTCAGCTCCCCTCCCCAAGCTGGTGAGCAGCCAGTGCTGCCAAGGCCCTTTCCCAGTGAGCAAAGCAAGCAGCAGAAGGAAACAAGCACCCCAGAGCCCTGCTGGGAAGTGGAGCAATGTGCCCTTGGGGATGCTGCAGAGGCAGAAGGGGCTGACTCACCTGCCCATCCTGCTGCAGGTGGTGATGCAGCATCTGGGAATGAGGCTGCTGATGTGCAGGGAGGATGTGGAGAAACGGGGCTGGAGCATAGCCCGGGGCAGCACCAGGGTTGAGGGGCCCAGTGGATCCGAGAGCAGAGGGCAGGCTGAAGGGAGGCGGAGTGCCAGCATGGAATCCCTGCTTGTCAAACGTCTGCACAGGGGGCAATGGGCACAGCGTCAGACACTGCTGTGAGCAGACCCAGCAAGAGCAGAGCAAGAGTGGCCCAAACACACATCACCTGAACCTCTCACCTACCCCACGAGGAAGCCAAGTCACACTGAACACCTGCAAGCACACCAGAGGATGAGTTTCAGCTCCTGTTCTCACCCATATTTCTGCACTAATGGCTCTTGAAATTTTTATTGTCACAGAGATTGTGGGGCTTTTTTCCCCTGACCTCTTTCCATTCAGAGGGACATGGGATCACAGCAGCTGCCTAATCAGTCCTTCCCCCACTGAGTGGGCTCAGCCTAGAAGTACTCAACCTATCCAGGGCAGTCCAACAAAAACACAGGAAGCTGCAGTAATATGTTCCTCCTGCTGGCCAAAGCTTGACCCCAAAGCATGGAGCTGACAGCTGGCTTCCTACCTGTAAGCATGGATGGTGGCCAGACACCTATTTCCCCTGCTGAGCGTGCAGGGAGGAGCAAAAAAGAGCTGGACATAAGCCCACTGCACTGCACAGCCTGTCAAAACACCTTCTGCTCTGCCAGGGCAGCTGCACACTGAGCAGAGCCACAGGAGACAGGGACCCTTGGGTGTTAGAGGCAGGCACTACTGCCTGTCCCTCTGATGGAAAGCAAACAGCCTCTCAACTCACCTGCTTTGGGGGCTATTTGGGCTAAAAATGCTAACACCCACAAGTTCATTTGCACCCAGGACACTGCTGGAATGGTGTAGCGTGGGCAGTGTGCAGCACAGGGAGCACTGAGCCTCTGCCAGCAGCTGCTATCAGGAGCTGACACCGCAGAAACAGGGGGACAGAGGATGAGGCTTCACTCCAGCAGCAACCAGAGCCAGCGTTAGAGATGCCGTGGCTGGCCGGCCCTGAGCCTGGCCAGCCTGGGAGTAGGAGTCATCAGCCTTGGGCCCTGAGGGAGGAGGGTCCAACACTCCTCACCTGAGTCTTGTTATAGACTGAGCCACTGATATCAGGCACACCCGTGTTACTTGAGGTCACAGAAACACCTGGAAAACAGAAACACCACCAAGGGTGAGAATGTCACCCCACCAGCCAGCACAAGCCCAAGCTTTGCTCCCAGCACCACTGGCAGCCTCAGGGGATGCACTGCCCCACTGGTTCTCCAGACCCACAACACCCCACATGGGAACAGAGGAAAGGGCTCAGCTTCTGGTTCCCACTGCAAAAGCCCACTGGGATAAATCACCCAGGTCCACACCTAGCCATTAACACTTGGATTCTGTTGTGTTGTGTTTCGCTGCAGGATTCCAATGCACTTCCAATGCACCAGGCAGCAGTTAGCTGCACTGACCACTCACTGAAGCCCACTAAAAGCCAGCATTCCCCTGGATCAGAGGTGCATTTGGCTCTGTTGCAGCACTCAAGAGCTTTGCAGTAGTGCCCTGAGTGATGAGACTCAGCATCTCCTACACATCTGAACCTCTTTCACACCCTACAGAAGAGTGAAAGTCTGCAGCACCCCTCTGCCCTGACAGAATCAGCATCACTGCCTCAGAGACACTTATTCTTAGTTTTACAGAAGGTGGCTCTGGTTATTCCATTTGGGTCAGAATAAAGCCAATGGTTGCTTTGTTTGGTGAATCAGAGATATGGGCTCAAGGGTACTGCTCTAAGCTTTTGTAACCCTCCTTGGGCACTGCTGGATTCCTTGGACACTTCCTGGGTTACTTCTCCACTGAAAGGAGTGTGACCACCTGGTGTTTCAAATGCCCAGCAAATGCTTGGTCCTTGCTTGAGAATGAGGATCAACCACATAGTGCTAAGCAGCCCAGTACAGGCTTCTCAGATCTAACCAGCATGTGCCAAATAAAGCTTTTGTATGACCTGCATAAATTCTTCAGCTTTTATGGTTACAAAGGAAACATTTCCAAGCACGACACAATGTTATGAGTGTACACAGCCCAGAGATGTGTGAAGCACCCTGCTCCTCTCTAACATGTGGGTGTCTCAGGTGCCTACCAAGAAACTTAAAATCTAGCTATGATTTGGCAGAGGAGCATTTCAGCAACAGCACTGAACTGCTCAAGTTTCAAAATCACAGCACTGTTGAAGATCACTATACTCTTCAGCAAAGAAAGCTCTGGCTTAGGAGGCAGCTTACCATTTCTCCCACATGTAATTGGTCCAAGCTGTGCATCAGCCACACAGATTTTTATGTGAAGTTCAGCAGTGAGGTTCACAAGGAACAACTAAGTCATTAGAAAAGCATTTTGTGTATGGGAGATGGAGAAACAGCTTGGATCACGACCCTGTTTAGCGCTGGCTGCTGTGTTGACTGGGAGTTTGCCCTACTAAATCCCACTCCAGGGGAACCTCCAGTCTCAAAGCGTTACCTTTCCCAGGTCCAGTGCCAGCAGATTTGCTTTGTGCTTGAGATGAGCCACTGTAGCCTCCTTTGCTGTAATCTCCAGCTGCTGTTCCCTGCGTTAAGTCGTCGTAGCCTGCACAAGGGGTGCACAGGGAGGGCGTCAGGGCGCGGAGCGGCGCCGCGCTCGGGGGCAGCGGGGCTGAGCCTTACCTGCACCGTAGCCATGCTGGCTGTAGCCACTCGCCTGCTGAAAGGGAGTCGAGGCCGTGCTCAGGTTGACTCCGTGCTGTTTAGCAGATGCTGGAGGTACCTGGACAAAGCACGGGACGAGAAGTGCTGTCAGCTGGAACACAAGCTGGAACACAAACGCCCTCTGCCATCTAGTGGGGAAGGGACCTTCTACCTCGTGTTGGGAATTCAGTCTGGAGTTGGGAGGACTGGGATCGCATGGGACTGCTCACAGCAGTAACTTGCTATAGTGGATTTGTGTCACAGAATTTCTCCTAGAGCTGTCCCTGTGATTGCAGCACAGCCCTCCCTCAGAACAGGTTGTGTATTTCTTTCATATACTGAATGTAAACAGCAAATTTTTACCCACAAACTGAGACCAACCACAGAATCAAAGTAAACATCAATTCCTGCCTGAGGCTGCTCATAAAACACTAGCCTACAGGGCCCTAAATAGCTTCATCTACCCTTCTGCCTGGAGCTGCACCTCTTCCCAAATAAACCTCCTTCCTCCTGAGACTTCCAGCCCTGCTCTCTGACTTAATGGGGTCTCCTCCATCCAGGCTTTCAGCTCACTGACTCAGCTTTGGGTCCCCCCTTGACTCTGCAGGGACTCATAAGGGCTTTCAAGAACAGCAAGCCCACAAAATGCAGCTGTCAGGTATGTACAGAAACTCGTACAGGGGTCCATGAATTCTGGCCTGTCAAATATTTTGTTTTCTTCTGGATGAGACTGCAGCTATTTTCTCACATTGAATGCTTTTGGAGATCTCCTGCAGACTGGGGAAGCTGACTCTATTCCACTCTAATGAGAATCCACCTAAATACTGACTCCAGCTCTGGAGTGCTCAGTATGAGGAAGCTGTGGACCTGTTGGAGCAGATCCAGAGGAGGTCACAAAGGTGATCAAGGTGATGAGCTCCTCTCTCCTATAAGGACAGGCTGAGAGTTGGGGCTGTTCATCCTGGAGAAAAGAAGGCTCGGGGGGGACCTTAGTGTGACCTTTCTCCACTTAAAGGAGGCTTATAGGAAATGTGGGAAAAACATTTTACCAGGCCCTGTAGTGACGGGATGAAGGGCAGGTGTTTTCAACTGAAAGGTGGCAGATTTAGATTAGATATAAAGAAAATAATCATCACCACGAGGGTGGTGTGGCACTGGCACAGGCTGCCCAGAGAAGATGTGGATGGCCAACAGCCCTGGAAGTGTTCAAGGCCAGGTTGGATGGGGCTCTGAGCAACCTGGGACAGTGAAAGGTGTCCCTGCCCAGAGCAGGGGGATTGGAACAAGACAGTCTTGGATGATACCTTCCAACCCAAACCTTCCTATAATTCCAAGAGGAGTGGAATGTTTGGGCTGGAGAAAGCAAAACTGGAGAGGCATGCAGGGAGCACTACAGCTGAGGCTGTCACACTTACAAACATGGTTGGCCCATACTGGAATGCACTGGGAACACCGGGCATCCCAGCATAGTAAGGGAGCCCAGTGTAGCTGTACCCTGGGGGCAGGGTCGGGTTGAGGAAGGGCTGCTGAGTCGTGTGGTGAGTCTGTGTCTGGTTCTGCTGCGGCTGGGCCAGTGTGGTTGCAGGAGCAGGAGATGCAGTGTCTCCACGGCCAAATTTTGTTACATCACCTGTGAAAGAAAGAACTGGTCAGAAAAGCTATCAAAGATACTGCAAAAGTGGAGAATTCAATGGACTTATATCCTCTGAACAGGAGCAGACAACTACAGAGCAGGACACATCCTACACCTGAAAGCCTGCAGTTGTTTATGGGAAACCCTCACCCAGTCTCTGTTCCTGACAGCCACAGGGAAATTGCCTGTTTGTGGCACAGAACTCTGTGCCGTGGCTACTCCACTGATAAAGAGAGATGCCAATACTCACCTATCTCACATGGTCTGAGCAGACTCATTACTATCAGATCATTGCAATAAAACATGCTAAAAGCAGAAGCATGGTAAATAGCCAGAGAGCCAATGGTTGTTGGGTTAAAGTGTGACTCTCCTGGAGGTTAACCTGTTTAGCTATGCTTTAGCTCATGGACTGAAAGCAGGTTAGGATTTACAGGCAGTGATGGGCATATTTTTGCCAATGTCTGTTTATTTATCAAGCATGACTAGTTAAGATGTCCAGTTCCTCACACCACCAAAGTTCTGAAGACAGTAGCTGAAGGCCAGGAAAGCAAGGCTTGCATCGAGGGCCACCTTATTGAAGAAGCAGGAAGGGAAATTCAGTTATTAACCAAAAAACAGCCTCCCAAGAGAAGCGATAATGAAGCAGAAAATTCACAAACACTTGTACTTTCTGGCAGCCTACAGAGCAGCATGTTCACATGTTTACCAAGGAGGTGACATACATCAATCCCTTCTACCTCACTCCCAACCAGTATTCCTTTTTGCTGGTTACTAGGAAGTATGACAGCACTTAATACCATCATTATAAGAACTACAATGCCTATGGCTACAGTTTAAAGCTGTAATCAACTAGCAGTGGGTGAAAACCACTGGGATGAAATCTGGGATGGCATTAATATCATCTTTGCACAATGACAGCTAAAGAGCGAGAGCAGGAACAAGGAAGGGCTTCTTGGGAAAAGGGAAGGGAAAAGCAACTCTTGTCTGAGCAACAGCAGGATGACCTGCACTGAGAAACCAGCACTTCTCACTTGCCATTGTCATTTTTCCTAGCACTCACCTGAGTATGGGTTGTTAGCAAGGCTCCCATCTCTGCCTGTCAAGGTTGCAGGAGCCGGGAATGTAATTCCATAGTAATCCTTGGAAGAGACAACACCATTTATTAATAGTGGAAACTGGAACACAGCTGGACACATGAACTGCCTACTAGACACAGAAGAAAATTCTAAAAGTAAGAACTAAAGGAGGTTTGACTGGAAGCTGACCTTACATTGTGCAGCAGAGCTGAAAATTTACCTGGATCCTCAAGCTAAAATAAACCTACTTTATAGACACTTTTTGTGTTATACACAAATATTTAATCTCTTAATGGTAAGTTAAAGGCAGTAACTAAGTGATTTCCCACACAGCTTCCAGCTCTGAACTGTCATCTTCCAGTGAGCCTGCCTGAAAGAGAACTGAGCATTGTCACTCAAACGCCTGGGGTCAGACCAGGACTGTAATCACAACATAGATGTAAGTCTAAGGGTTTTGCCCTTGTACCATGCCCTGTGTTCTAAAAGTGGATATGTCAGCTACAAAACCAGCAAAAGCATCAAAAGAGAGAGAAAAACAGTTACTATTGGATGACTGGAAAATTTATTTAAACTATTTACAGGAGATCTCAGGTCATGGTCTCCAAAGTGGGGTGTGTATCCCAACCCATTGGGTTGCAGGAAGAAAATGGATTTTGTACCTTTGATAAATATTACCGAAGAGAATTTTTAAACAGTGTTTGTTTAACCTTTCTCTCCTTTTTTCATTTTTATCTTTGTGTATGTTTTATAATATATATATATTAGTACAGGGGTGTATGTATGTAATTCAGAAATAAAAATATACTGAAGGCGAGTGCTCCCAATTTTTTTGCCAACAGGGTGCATAAAAAAGGTGGAAACCACTGCATCAGATCATTCTTCTAGGTCTTCTACAAGAAGGTAAGCAACACTAGAAAGCTTGCACTTTGAAATGACAGGACATGCTAGCAAAACCAAAGTAGTATTTTGACCTCAGTTTGGGGAAAAAGGGCAAGAAGATTGCCCTTCTATGTCTGTGTGAACTTCACCTGTGGGTCTGGTAATCGTTTCTTTTCCTCCTAATTTTCATGTTCTACTCCTCACCACCTCCAATCCAGAAACAGATAATGCTTTAAGTAGTAATGTATCAATTTACACACATTTTCAAATACTGAAAAATTCTCCTCCTTTATCATACCCCTCTCTCAAATGCCATAGTGCCTCAAATGTTTTCTCAGTGTGGACAGCAATCTCCACCTTGCTCCACTTTTGTGCATCCCTTCCCTGTCTCCTACACCCAATCCTCCATCACTCAACACAAAATAATGTGGCAAAGTTTTAGTATTGTAGGTGCTTTCTGTAACTTGTAATGGTGTCATTATTATCACCAACCTTTCCTTCCCCCTTTAGGAACTCCAGCACGAATCACTTGACAAAACACAACTAAATTCACATTAGAAGTCTTAGCAGGTTATTCAAAAGCAGCACTCTCATAACCTTCTGATGAAAATGCCACAAAAAGAAGATCTAGAGAAGACATGTAAACACAGTTCAGCTGATATGAACTGGCACACTAACATTTTCCCCCTATACAAACTGGACAAAATATAATCAAATCTGCATAAGAAGAGGGTGTAAGGGTAGCAGTTATTCTCACTCCACCTCGGGCAGGGGAAAACCACATCAGCACTGAATATCCTACTTGTGCATATGCACATTCAAACTAAAAACTCATTAGAAAATACAAGTGCAAGGCAGTTAGGCCGCAGTTCATGCTGGCCCAAAGGAAAATATCAGGGAAGATACTCTGTTCTTCAAACGTCACAGACATCTCCTGACCTACAAAAGGAGAAGGTGCCTAAAGCCAAAAGTGAAATATCAGAATTAGGCTCAAAAAGCAAGCAGAAAAGGATGAAAAAAGGGAAAGTGATGAGACAAAATAGATTTAAGTTCCACCCAGCAGCTCACTGGGTACCACACACATTTGTAAGATCTTTGCAACAGATGAACAGAGAAGACAGCATATCCCAGTGTAATGCACACCAAAAGAACCCAAACAACAAAAAAATCCAGTGAGATTTTACAGCAAGCACATTAGTTGAGTTAAATTAAAAAAGAAATCTCAGGAGAAAATCCCATTCTTGCTTTTTGAGCAAACACGGGGATCTCCTGCTGCTGGAAGTTACACAGGAAGCAGTGACGACTCACACTTGGGCCTTTGCCCACTTTCACTTTTCACATTAAGCGGACTGGCACATGAAAGAGAAATATTCCCACCTCTTCCTGCTCACAGACCATCTAACAGTGCCACATTTTCACAAAGAATTCACAATACAATTTAAAAAAACCCCCAAAATCCAGAAAGGACAAACATTGCATGAATAGTTGATGAAAAATCCTTTGTGACATGTGTGCATTTATTTCTAATTACCAACATACCAAGGGTAATTAACCCTGGATACAGGGGTATGAGAGATGGCTCCAAAAATATCATGCAAGTTTTTGCAGGGAGAGGAAAAACTCTTGCACTAGCAAAGCTGCAGGCACCACAGTAAAAAAGTACTAAAACATATATACATATACACATTTAAACAGAATTTAAAAAGATTGAGAGACTAACAATATTTTTCAATGAAAAATATAAGAAAAAGATTAATTAACATGCAAAATAAACATTATATACTAATCATATTAGAGCATGCAATATGAAAAAAAAATAGATGCTGGTACATAGAGAAATTTTTAAATAAACCCCCAAAAAGGGCAACACACAAAACAGATGAAAAGACAGTCCTGAAACACATCCCTGGCACAGCCAGCCGGAAAACTTCTGCCACATTTTGTCTCTTGCAATAGCTCAGTAGCCAGGCTTCCCCCTGGCAGCAGCCCAGAGAAAGTGCCAGCTCCCGTTCTCACAGCAGCGTCCCCTCCTGGCCAGTGACAAGCACCAAAGCTCTCAGAAGAAAGCAAACAGAAAAAACAAAAGTGAAAACGGAAAAGTGAAATTATCAAGAGGATGGTGATGAAAGGAAAGCCTGGACCTGGGCATATAAAACTGCACCACCAGCAGCATCCCAAGCAAAGCAACCACGACTACCAAGCCAGGGCAGGCTCCTGCACAGTGCCCGAAGCTCCACCATGGCTGCACCTGGATGCTCACAGCCCCACCGGCGGCACAGCACCCTGGCACTGCTGCTCCTCATCCTGGCTCTGGCCACCGGCCTCCCGTGCCACCACCTGCGGACCCACGATCCTGGGAATGCACTCCAGCATCTGCAGGACATGGCTCCAAGAACGACACTGTCCTGCAATCTCCAGAAGCGGCCCTTCTTCCCCGCCAGCCTGCTCCACAACAACCTGCAGCCGCACCAAGCCGCCGCCACCGCCCTGCGCATCCTGCAGCACCTCTTCCACACCCTCAGCTCCAACAGCACCCGCCAGCACTGGCCCAGCCACGCTCGCAACCACCTCCTCAACAAGCTGCAGCACCACATCCACCACCTGGAGCAATGCCTCCCCGACAACGCCGCGCCCTTCAGAGGACCACGCAACCCGCTGCTCGCCATCAACAAGTACTTCAGGGACATCCACCTCTTCCTGCACGCCCACAACCACAGCGCCTGCGCCTGGGACCACGTCCGCCTCGAAGCTCTTGTCTGCTTCCAGCATGTGGACAGACTCATACGGCAAATGAAGCACCAAGCTGCTCTGGACCCCACTAAGCCCACGGATAGCAAACACCCATCCCCAGCCAGCACCAGTGGCCTCAGACGGAGCGGTGATGGCAGCAGCCCAGGCTGGGATCACCTGGGACCAGTCACACATCTTCCGACTGAGAAGCTGATGGGGAAAGGGGTGTGACTGTGGTGACACTGGGGTCAGGCTGTGGCACAGCCCACACCCAAACTACAGCCACTAGAGTGGAAGGAAGAGGAAATTTCTGTGCTATACTTCCATGGACAGCTGTGAAGCACTGGGGATATGGATGGTACTTATTACCTGTGGAATTACTGTGTTCATCTGGGACTGTAACCTCACCTGATGAACGGGAAGGGGATCATGGACACGGGGAACTATGGTGGGACTCTTATTCCAATCACTATTTGTTACAAAACTCTGTTTACTTACTTATTTAATTAATTAACTTAGTTGTTTATTTATTTATTTATTTATTTATTCTTTTGTTAGTAATAAAGACTTGTTGTAAAAGCAGAAAAGAATGAAAAAGCAAAGCTGCAGTCATTATGCTTCATGCTTATACCTGACATGCAAAGATACCAACTCTTCAGGCTGTGAGGGGATCAATCTCCCTCCTCCAGCCCGTCTTGCCAATGCTTCCTGCCTGGGTGGAAGGCTGTGGATAGCAGACCCTTCTCAGGGAATGCTGGTTCTGCAGCCCCCAGGCATTTCTTACAGCTGCCAGACCATTGGAGCACCCATTTGCCCCAGATGGCATGATGCCTGCCCTGCACACTTCCTCCTCTTCCACCACCACGCTCTCCCTTCTAGACCCTTCAATAATGCCAAGACATGAAAGCCACCTCCAAGCCACCATCCCTCCACAGCCATTCTGCAATGCCACAACACTGCTTTGCAAGAAACAGGGTGGCATAGACAAGGTGCACCTCAAAGAATCAAGGAGGGGATCCATAAAGGTCTGCAGAGATTTGGACAAGGAACAGAAGTCCAGCGCTACCAACTGCACCCAAGAAACACCAAAAAGAGACAAAACCCACAGATGTCCAGAACAGCTCAGTGCTCTGCAACGGCCACCACAACTGGTCCAGGATGCTCCTGGCCGTGCTTACATCTCAGTGGCTATGGGGACCTGCTGCAGCACACAGAGCACATTATCCTTGTCCTTCTACACCCCAACACATCATTAGCAAGCAAAGAGATCCATCACTCAAACACCCTCACTCAACATGGTCCAACCCAACGAGCACAGCATTTCTCATGAAGGAAACTGCCCACGCATCACCAGAACCAGCTGCTCCTTCACCCTCCAGCCAACGACCCAGAAGTATCTCCCTAGGTCAGCATGGGACAAAGAGGTTGTTTCCTGCGCTCAACAACATCTACCACTGCATCACTGCTCTGTGCAAACATAAATGATCACTTCCTGTTCAGCTGAGTGAGAAAAGAAGAGGACCAAATACAGAATCATAGAATCACTAAGGTTGGAAGAGACCTCCAAGATCATCAAGCCCAGCCTTTCACCAAACACCATTAAGCCATATCACGAAGTGCCACATCTACTCAATTTTTGAACACTTGTAGGGGTGGTGACTCTAGCACTTCCCTAGGAAGCCTGTTCCAATGTTTGACTACTTCTTCAGTGAAGAAATTTTCCCTAATATCCAGCCCGAACCTCGACTGGCACAACTTGAAGACATTTTCCTTTCCTATTGCTAGTTGCTGGGAGAAGAAGCCGATTCCCACATGGTTATAACCTTCTTTTAGATTGTTGTAGGGAGTGATAAGGTTTGCCTGAGCCTTCTTTTCCCCACACTAAACTTGCCCAGTTCCCTCAGCTGCTCCTCATATGACTCACTGTACAGACCCTTCCCCAGCTCTGTTTCCTTCTCTGGACACAGTCCAGCCCCCTCTGTGTCCTTCTTGCTGTGAGCAAACAAAGCTGAGCACAGATTCCAGGCGTGGCCTCAGCTGTGCCCCAGCACAGGGGATGGGCCCTGCCCTGCTCCCGCTGCCCCTCCATGGCTGACGCAGGCCCGGGGCCTTTGGCCTCCTTGGCCCCCCCAGCTCGTGTCCAGCCCCTGGAAACCAGCACCTCCAGGGCCTTTCCCACTCAGCAGCTTCCCAGCCATGCTGTCCCAGCTG